CAGGCTGGAGTGCGCTGGCGCAATCTCGGCTCATGGCAAACTCCGCCTCCTGAGTTCAAGCAATTCTCCTGCCTCAGCCTCCCGAGTAGCTGGGACTACAGGTGCACTACTGTGCCTGGCTAATTTTTGTATTTTTAGTAGAGACGGGGTTTTGCCATGTTGGCCAGGCTGGTCTCGAACTCCTGACCTCAGGTGATCTGCCCGCCTCGTCCTCCTAAAGTATTACAGTGATTACAGGCGTGAACCATTGCACCTGGCCAGTCATTTTTGTATTTTTAGTAGAGACGGGGTTTCGTCATGTTGGCCAGGCTGTTCTTGAACTCCCGACCTCAAGTGATCCGCCTGCCTCAGCCTCCCAAAGTGCTGGGGTTACAGGCATGAGCCACTGTACCCGGCCCAACAGAGACTTTTAAAGGCCCCCTGCTTCCTTGGTCCATGAACAGCCCCTCATGCCCTGGTACTCACAGTCGGCAGGCTCAGGTGGGGCTCTGAGGCTGGTGCTGGCACCATGAGAAATGGCGTCGCTGGTCAAGTGGGCCAGCAGGGTTATGGAATGGAGAAGTCCACTGATGTCTGCCAGGATTGGAAAGGAAGTTTCTCAGGTCTGGTTGATGGTGTCACTTTCATACCCTTTCCTCCCCTATTTTATGAGTTGTCTACACGCCTTTCTTGATGCAGAGGAACCTGTCACCATTTCTGCATTCAGGTGCTTCTCAACCCTGTCCAGCTGTCACGAATGACAGAGACTATCCTTGGCCATTCTTACCTTCCGGGCAGGCCAGATACTGGCTCCAGCTTTTCTCCAGTTGTTCAATGCAGCTGGAAATGGACGTGACCGTGGAGAGGAGGTGATCTGTGAGAGGGAACACAGGGTAAGGTCACAGCAAGTTCTCATAGCTGGCTTCATCCTCGTTAATTAAGCACTGAATAGAGGAGCTTACCTAGTGGGTAAGCTTCCTGCCTAGATGTGAAGTTCATGAGTAATCACCTCTTGACTCAGACCACAGTTTTTTCCTTAGAGAAACACAGAATTGTCTGCTCCTGGTGGATGTTTTATCAGTGTGACCCACTGTCTAAAGCAGTGGCTATCGGCCAGGCGCGGTGGCTCACGCCTGTAATCCCAGCACTTCGGGAGGCCGAGGTGGGCAGATCACGAGGTCAGGAGATCGAGACCATCCTGGCTAACACGGTGAAACCCTGTTTCTACTAAAAGTACAAAAAATCAGCGGGGCGTGATGGCTCGTGCCTGCAGTCCCAGCTACTTGGAAGGCTGAGGCAGGAGAATGGCGTGAACCCAGGAGACAGAGCTTGCAGTGAGCCAAGATCGCGCCACTGTACTCCAGCCTGGGCAACAGTGCATGGCTCTGTCTCAAAGAAAAAAAAAAAAAAAGCAGTGGCTATCACACCTGGGGGCTTTAGAAAATACTACTGCTGGGCCTGGTGCGGTGGCTCACGCCTGTAATCCCAGCACTTTGGGAGGCCAAGGTGGATGGATAACCTGAGCCCAGGTCTTCAAGACCAGTCTGAGCAACAAACCCCAACCAAAAACTAGCTGGGCGTGGTGTTGCGTGCCTATAGTCCCAGCTACTTGGGAGACTGAGTGGGGAGGATTGTGTGAGCCCAGGAAGTGGAGGTTGCAGTGACCCACCGCACTGCACTCCAGCCTGGGCAACAGAGTAAGACCCTATCTCAAAAAGAAAAAAAAAAAAAAAAAGAAAATACTAATGTACAGGTTCTAATGCACAGAGTTTCCAAATGTAACTGATCTAGGATGGGGCCTGGGCACCTGTAAGCTAATGCTGACATGCTGTGGGGCTGAGGGCCCCTGAGCTAAGTCTCACATGAGATTCACCACCAACAGAGGGTCAGGCTGTAAGCACCTGGCCCCTGCCAGCCGGGCAGTTGCAAGTGTACCTGCAGAGCCAGCGCAGCTGATGAGAGGAGGTTCTTCAAGCTGGTTCAGGGCGTCTTGTATCACCTGCTCCGCAGCCTTCCTGGACCCCACCAGAAGCATTTTTCGTTGGTCTTTGGCAAGCTGGCACATAGATTCCTAAAAACGGTCCAGGGAGGTGAGAGTCTGCCCTAGACTCCATAATGAACCTGAGCGGCATGACCTGGCTGGGGCTCCTAGCATCTTAGCTCAAGTCACGGCCAATGAGGTCCAAACCAGTAAGCCTGAGACAGAGAAAGGCGCCTTAACTGTGTGCACGGGGTGTGTGGCTGCCCACGGAGGCTGCAGGGATGGATCACTGCACCCCGTTCTCATGGCTGGGAGGGAATGCCAAACTTCCCTTCTCATACAAAAAAGACAGCGCTCTGCTTTCCCTCATGCACTCTGCAGGCAGTGCAGGGCCTGCTGGCATCACACCTACAGAATGTCTGCACAATTGGGCCAAGGCCCCAAACTCCTTCTCAGCAGCCCCGGGGTCCTCCTGGCCTCCGTGCATGCGCAGAGGCCCTCAGTGGGAGTTCACAGGCGCTTGCTTGTGTCTGTGTCTGTGACTTGCCTCTGTGCTGGCCAGTTTGAGCTGAGTGTCCTGCAGTTCTTTCTGAAGAGTGGATAATTCCTCGTCTCTATGAGCTGCACCACTCACCAGGCTGTCCCGCTCCTTCTCTAGCTCGGCGATCTGGGCTGCCCAGTTTGCTTCTGACTGCAAAGGTGACCACAAGGAAGGAGGGAGACACTGGTTGAGTTAAACAGTCCCTATTTCTCAGAGGTCCAACCCATCACCTGGCTACAAGGACTGGGAAAGTGATAGCTCTTTAACCTGTCACTCTGATTCCCTCTCGCACTGATTATAGCTGGGGCTGACTTGGCCAGGTTAAGGATGGTGGATGACAGCAATGCCAAAGCCAGGGGTGGGGCAAGAAAGGAGGCCGGGAGTGGAGGCTCATGCCTGTAGTCCCAGCACTTTAGGAGGCTGAGGTGAGAGGATCACTTGAGCCCTGGAGTTTGAGACCAGCCTGGACAACATAGTGAAACCTTGTTTTTACCAAAGAAAATACAAAAATTATCTGGGCGTAGTGGCTTGTGCCTGTAGTCTCAGTTACTTCGGGGGAGCTAAGTGGGGAGAATCACCCGAGCCCAGGGAGGTGGAGGCTGCAGCGAGCTGAGATCACACTACTGCATTCCAGCCTGGGTGACAGAAGAAGACCCCATCTCAACAAAAAAGAGAAAGGCAGTATTTACCTGGGCAGAAGTTTCCAGGCTGCCTTGGAGAACCTGAAGCTCCCGTTGGCTTGTGGCGAGTTCTTGCTTCAAGCTCTCTAGAACTTCCAGCTGTTCTTGAGTCTGAAAGAGAAGAAAAATAGAGGGACTCTGATCTGGGTGGTAGTGACAAAGAATATAAAAACGTAAACATGTCCCAAGCGATCAATAAGAGATCTGTAAACTCTACTGTATGTAAGTTACACCACCCAAAAAAGTGCAGGGTGTGGGAGGAGGAGGTGAGACCCCAGAGTGTACTGAAAATGTGGAATGTCAAGGAAGGAATTTTTATTATTTATTTATTTATTTTTGAGACAGAGTCTCACTCTTGTCGTCCAGGCTGGAGCGCAGTGGTGCAATCTCGGCTCACGGCAACCTTTACCTCCCAGGTTCAAGCAATTCTCATGCCTCAGACTCCCAAGTAGCTGGGACTACAGGCGCCCACCACCCCGCCTGGCTAATCTTCATATTTTTGGTAGAGACGGGGTTTCACCCTGTTGGCTAGGCTGGTCTCGAACCCCTGACCTCAGGCGATCCTCCGGCCTTGGCTTCCCAAGGTGCTTGGATTACAAGTGTGAGCCACTGTGCCTGGCCTCCAGGAAGGAATTTTAGAAACATTTCCCAAATGTCATGCTTAAGTCCGTAATACTAAAGGCAAACTGGGTCTTAGATTCAGGCATCCCAACAGCTGGTATATGGCTGAACTACAGCACCTCGCCATTCCCAGATGACTCTCTTTCTTTGATTTCTTGATGGTGTTTGTCAAAGAGTGGGTTGTGACTCCTTAGTAAGAATGCACAGCTAACATTTAAAAAAATGGATTAAATAGAACAGAGAATAGCCAAATGAATTCACGTAGTAAGGATAAGTATTGCTTGGTGAACCTTACTTGTATTTCCATGAGATAGATGTAGTTTTTTATGTGGGGTCACAGAAACGTGTGAAAGTCACTCCTCTAAATCTAGGACATTTGGTTTGATCTGTCCCATATCTCTAACTCCACCTCTAAGCCTCCAATCTGCCTGTTGGTCCTGCCCCAACACAGTGGTGTTCTCTGTTTTTTTTTTTTTTTGAGATGGAGTCCCGCTCTGTTGTCCAGGCTGGAGCACAGTGACATGATCTCAGCTCACGCAACCTCTGCCTCCTGGATTCAAGCGATTCTCCTGCCTCAGACTCTCAAGTAGCTGGACTACAGGCATGAGCCACCATGCCCGGCTGATTTTTTGTATTTTTAGTAGAGATGGGGTTTCACCATGTTGGTCAGTCTGGTCTTGAACTCCTGACCTGAGGTGATCTGCCCGCCTCAGGTTCCCAAAG